GCTTTAAAAACTAATACCAGTTTCACCAACTGACAGATGGATAAGTGCAACATGGCATATACATACACTAGAGGATCATAAAGCAATAAAAAAGAATGAAATACTGGTTCCTGCTACAACAAGGATGAACCTTGAAAACAACCTGCTAGGTGCAAAAAGCCAGACACACAGGCCATATATTGTATGACCTTAAGGTAGGGTGATAAAATGTTCTAGAATTAATTATTATGATGGTTGCACCGCTGTGAATATGCTAAAAGCCACTACACTATGTATTTTAAATGGGTGAACTGTATGATATATGAATTATATCTCAACACAGCTGATATTAGAAGAAGTAGCTGACTTAAGTATGCTACATTTACACAAGGGAATACTACCCAGTTATAATATGGAATGAGAAAACTCCTTTTTAAAAAATTCCAGTCACCAACCCTCTTCACATCAAGTTACTTATGTGATCCAGTAACACTGGAAGTGTGGCCTGGGTTGGCCCTATGCAATTCTACTGTAAACCAATGGAGAAACAGTGGTTTAGGGCAAGATTAAGACAAATAACTAACAGCTATACAACAGCATGAAGTGGGTAGGCACAGAACAAAGTTGAGTATTCGCCAGCTTCAACTTGGAGGAGGCAGATTAACGCATCTTACAAGTTGTATCCATGCTAAAATGTGATGCATCAGGGAGAATGAGCCAGGAAGATACGAACAAAGGGGAAAAGATTATCAAACAGGCAAAAACTAGGAGGCTAAGTCCCACGGCCCCCCAGGGGTAGGGTACTGCGGTTAGTTCAGAAGACTGAAAAAAACCAACAGCAAATGATGACTGGCGAGCTACAAGGCTAGACAGAAAAACCCAAGTTGATTCACAAAGATCACATAAATCCAGTTAAAAATGTAAAATATTCACTGATCAATAAAAATCCACAAAAATTTAGCTTGAATTTCACAATTTTAAAATATTTTCAATAATAACAGCATTAACATAGCCATACATATAGTACATATCATATGTACAAAGTTATATATAATATTATATATAATGATAATTATATATAATAAATAATCTGGAGTCTTTCACAGTATTCTTACAGTACAGAGGTTAAGCAACCAAAATAGCTTCTTTCCATGGATTTAAAAGATTTTATTGCTTCCTCTTAAGTTGATGAAGATATTAAAGTATTATGGATCCAAAACTAGATGTGGTTCCAAAAAGTCACATTCCAACTACTTAACAGAATGTAATCAAATATGATTGTTAAATATACTTTTTTTAATCGAGCCTTTGCTGTGGAGAATATACCAGGCTTAGTGATGGGAGGGACAGAAACATGAGGAATATACACTCGCCCTGCCTTCAAGACATTTCAAACCGAGGAAAGGGTAATACATGTGAATAAATAAAGAGGACAGAAGGCAATGGGATGATGGGAGGAAGGTGGGGCAATAAAAGGCACAAAGTGATGAGGAAAGAAAGAAACCAACAACACACTCAGTGCTCAAAAATGGACTGGAGAGTCATTCGTGTTTTTTAAGATGCCCTGAGAGTTTAGGTTCAGAGAGGTCGTGCTGGTACACGTAGCTTATGAGCTCAGCCTTAAAAGATTTAGGTTTTCACTCAAGAGGCACTGAGAAAGCCTTCCAGGCAACAGGAGCGCATGGACAAAGGCAAAATGCTCTGTTGATGAATGAAATACAGACTACAAGCACACGGGGTTGGGGAATGACGGGGTGAAGGTCAAGGCTGAGCTCAGGCCGCTGAATCCGTACTTTGGGCTATGGAGTCTATAGTTAAATAAGCAGGAAAAAAAGGATGAGAGTTGAGTGTTAGCTATATCTACTAGAGTTGCAAAGTGGACTTGAACTTAACTTTTCTGAGCCTCTTATGGAGATTGAAGATATAAAAATAGCACCTCGATGCTGCTCTCAAGACTGAATGCAATAGTACATGTACAGCACTTACAAGAGCACCCAGCACACAAAAACTGCTACTAATATTTGTGTTACTACCTACATAAACCACCCAAGAATTTTAGCAATATACTGAGAGTACGTTAAGAATTTGCCTGACCTGGGGCTGGGGATTTAGCTCAGCGGCAAAAGCGCCTGCCTGGCAAGCGCAAGGTCGTGAGTTCGGTTCCCGGTACCGGAGAAAAACCAAAAAAAAAAAAAAAAAAGAATTTGCCTGACCATCCATGGTTTAACTAATCTGTTGTGGGGGTTACAGGATCCTTATCCCTGTGAAAGACACTGAGACAAGAGCACTGTCTCAACAGTGACAACCAAAAGTCATGAAAGAAGTTGCCGGAGGAGAGGGCCAAAAAGCTGATGCATAACGAGATTTAGATAGGAGAGGAACTTGCAGGAAACCATAAACAACTCTCAATTATTCATGAAAGGCTTTTTCAACTTAATAGCTTCCAGCTTCCCTAGTGTCCCATACTCCCTCATTTCTATGGGCATCCTACTCCAACCCTCCCTGGAGCACTCCTAAAGTGAAAAAGGACAATTAAAATGCAGTACTGTAAAGAAGCACATTAGAAATAAAACTGTGTATTATCCAAATCCTCAAGCAGGGAAAAACACTGTACTACCTGCTAAACTGGAATGCAGTAGAAGAAAAAAAAGGATCTCTAGTTACTTCCCCAACCGCTCTTTTGCTATTAGTCCTTCAGGCAAGTAACTCTGCCACTCTTTCTGAACTTCACACCCTCAGTTCAGGTGGAGAAAGACTTGAAATGTCATCACTTCACAGAAAGTTTGGTGCAGCAGCTTTCAGAATTAATGGTTTCTACATATGGGAACACAGGGACTGGTTTTCCAGCCCTTTTCTTAGCAGGTATAAAGCAGCATTGTTCAAAGTTCATTTACCACAGTGGGTAAAACCAATCTGATCTTTTTTTAGATTTAGATGAAGTGAAGATTTCCTTCCTCCCTTATTAAAAGCCTCCAATCTACCAGACCCACAAACCATAAACTCAACCACAAAAATCAATGGTAGTAAGTTTCAACGATTCAGAAACCAGAACACCCAGACATTTGATAATGGCATCAGAAAGTTTACAGCCCATCCTCAGACAGTTTTAATACATTGTATCACTGGGGTCTACCATTATGAGTTAACATCTAATTAAATATTGGGGTAAGAGACATTAGAGTGTAGAGTCAGAAAGACTAATAAAATCTAGCTCAGCAATTTACAATTGACCCTGGGCAAATTCCTGAACCCTGCATTAATTTCTCCACCTGAGAAATAAAGATAATATCATAACACCACTGTTTATCAAGATGGTAAAGATTATGTGATAATATAGCCTATGGCAGCCGGCTAGAACCTGGTCTGCAACAGAACTGTTAGCTATTACTGAAAATGTAACTCAATAATAAAACAACGAACCTTTTAGCTGAACAAGAGCCTGTTACAAATAAAGCTAAATGTCTACTGGCTGTAATGGTGGAAACCACATTTTAGTTTCTTGGAAGCAGCCCAGCACAACCAATAGAAAATGGGCTGGAATCCTAAACCTAGCAGAATAACCTTGAGAAAACTGGTTAACCTGGGGAGCCCTAATCTCCCATCTGGTTAAAAATACCTAGCTAAAAAGACTACTGTAATGTTTAACGAGGTAACCTATACAAAGCTCCTAGCACACATCTTGGTGGCTAGTAAGTGCTCATCAGTGGTAGTTATTACTGTTTGTTAATCTTCTCGATCTAAAAAACAAAAAAAGATAAAGATGAAAATCAAAACCAGCTACAAAATCACCATTCTTCAAATTTACAGTTTTCATTTACTCATTCCATGAATGTGTATTGCAAACCTACTGTGTGTCAGTACTTTGAAAATCTTTTAAGAGACGAGCAAGACCAAACAGGTCGTTGGTCACCTGGAATTTACATGTTAGAAGGGGAACGCAGCCAGTGAATAAACCGAGATGATTTGAGGGAGAAAGAAGCGCTATGACAAGCAGCAAACTGTGGTGCGCAGTTGGCCTGCCTGACTGGTCCGAAGGAGACCCTACCTTCTATGACACTTGAGGGGAGAAGCCAGAACTATGCCTTTACCGGTTTGTGGAAGTATCTGTCTTGCAGTCATAGGTTAGAGTAAGATATTTCTAAATGTCTCCATCCCAGTAATCAAAACCCCAGCGCCCGGGAACTCCAGCGCCTCAAGGCAGTTTCCAGGCCCGTCGAAACCCACAACTTCAACACCCCTTTCAGTAGCAAGTCAGGGCGGCACGCCCTATTTTAAGAAGTATGGGGATGACGTGGGACAGGGCCATCAGCGGCTGCTGAAGCTGCAAACGCTCCCCGGGAACCCCGAGGGGGCGGGCGCCGTCGGCCCCCAGCCCAGGCACTCCGGAGCGAGCAGGCCGGGTGGTTGGGCAGGCGCGCGCCGGCAAAGCCGAGCGTCGCTGGGGTCCCCGGCCGCGCCCCACCCGCGGATGTGGTGAAGCCGCCCGCCTGGCCCGAGGAAGCGGGTTTCCTGCGAGTCCGGCCCGGCGCGGCGCGGCGCTCGCGGCTCTCGCGGCTCACTGGGACCGCTCCGCAGCACCGCATCCTGGCGCCCGCGCCCAAGCCCCTGAGCCGGGCTGCTGCTCGCCTTCCACCCGGGACAGGCTGTCCCCTCGAGGGACACAGCACCGGGCGGCAGCAGCCGGTCCTTCCTCCCGCGGCTGGAACCCGCAGCCAGGGCGAGCTCCCCGGCTCGGCGCTGCCCCGCGCCCTGCTCTTCCTCGGACGACAAGGACGGCGGCGCCCCCCAAAACCGCAGCCCTTCGAGCCCGTCGCCGCCGGGGTCCCCGCGCCCCAGCCCCTCTGCGCGGGC